TCACAGTTTTCTGTGTCATATGGATTGATATTTAAAATAGATTATTTATGGGGCTAGGAGATGCTTCCACAGTTAGAGAACCTGTGCTAGTCTGTTCTTAGCAGCCACATTAAACTGCTCACAACTGCCTAGCTCCAAGGGATCTAATACTTTCTTATGCCTGTGGACATTTGTACTATGTGGCATGCTCACATACAAGTGGACATACACATAAATAAAATTATAAAAAGAAAGTTTGTTTAAAATCTGCCAGATGGACCAGGATTTTCTGTAACTTGGGATTTGAATCTATTATGCAAATAAATTTAACCTGGGATGCTTAGTGATCTTGATAAATTCTGACCAAGTGAGGATGATAGTATTTTTTGCACAAAGCAGAAAACTGACCACATTACATCAGTAGGAAGTCACAGTCTGTTTATATTATCACCCTGTTAATGTCATTTATGTCTGTCTTCTGGTCATGGTCATGGCATATGCATGCACAAACAGCACCTTGGGATTTCAGCCTCCTTCTTAAGCATGATCACCATGAAGCAAGAGCCACACTGTGACTTCCTGCAGAAAGTCAGGCAGCCACCATAGAAAGGGGTGAGACCACTGAGGAGTGAGAATGGTACAAAGCTCACTCACTGCCGGAACTGAGGAGGGAAGAAGGCGAGGCACACACGGTCTGCTTTGTTCTACTCTATCCCAGTTCGGCCCGTGACTGTGGCAGAGAGTGTCTCACTAAGAAGCCTTGGTGTTTTGCAGAGTCTGCTGCCCTCCAGCCAGGATCACTGAAGTGGACGTCTCCTACGGGTTCTAGAACTACAAGGCTGGCTCAGCTGCATGAGTAGGAAGTGGTTTCAAGGAAACCACTGGCAATTGCTTCCAAAAGTGATGAGTCTTATAGACCCTAATCCAGGCAGCACTCTGCTGAGGATTCAAAAGCTAATGTGAAAAACAAGATTTAGACAGCAGCGAAAAGATTGACAGCCAATACTAAGCAGCAAAAGCAGAATCATGTAGGCCTCTCAGTGAGACACAATTGACCTCCAAAAACCACTAAACTTTGCAGATAGTGGCTGCTTTGGCAGTTATTTGAATGCTGACTCTAACTACAAAGGAAGAATATAGTAATCATAGTAACATATAATTTCACCAAGGACTCCTTACAAAGCTGCTGTGTTCTACCCAAATCCATTCCCAGACCTTTACACAGGACTGGTGGCTTTTGGGCCCTTCCCTAGCTCTTATGGTCTTCACTCTACTATTCCTCCAGACAAATGGTGGGAGAATAGATGGTGGTGTGTGTGTGTGGGGGGGATTTACCAGCGATCAAAACCATGCAAATTAAAATAACGAGAAGTTGATTTCACTTATCTCATGAGGAAAAATAATTATAAGCAGAGCCAAGACAGTTCTGCAAGCCCATCTGTCCTCCACATACCAGGTGGAATTATAAATTGGAGTGGCTTATCTAGGGTGGATTTGACAGCATGCCCCATGGACAAAGTGTTCCTCAAAGTGTATGTTAGGACAGAATCCATGTAGTGGTCGGCACTAGTCAGGTCATGTGTGTATTATGGAATACAGTTTATCCATCACAATTGAAGTCTGGTGGGAATTTACCTGACATTGGAAGAATTAAAATGCAGTGGCTATGGACTTGGTGATGTAGACCTGTAACCCCTGCACTTGGGAGGAAGAGGCATAAGGATCAGGAATTCAAGGCCAGCCTGTGCTACCCGAGACCTTGCATCAACAAATTAATAATCAAACAACAGCAAAAACTGTAATGATGAATAAAACAGAATGCAGTGGCCAATGGATAGGGCTTTCTTCTTTCATTTCTCTGATTAAAATTCTTTCCCAGATTCTTACAAAGGCTCTGATTCGGGATAGTTGATTAGCCTTTCTGTGCCCTGGTTTCCTTACCTGCCCAAGGGGGGAGTACTGGTGGTGGTAAAGCTTAAATGAGATAACTGTTTGGCACACTTGATCCTCTGTATTGCACAGCCTAACTGTCTGATAAATGTCAGTATCAAGTAACTTCCTTTGTAAAATAGGGATGACAGCCATTCCTCCTTGAAGCTTTGGTGAGTGTGTGGGAACACTTGGTGAACCTGGCAGACAGCAGCCAAAGAACCATCCCATCTGCTGCTTGATCTCAAGCCTTAGGGAAGATAGATGAATGTGGGTCAGATGTCTGGACAGCTAAGGCTGCTTGAAACCCCAGGTCCTCACACACAGCCTTGGGGACAATGACTAGTGACGTCTGGGTTGATCCTTCTACATGTTCTTCCAACATCCATTTCAACAACATTCATTTCGATTAGTATGTTAATTTATGTTTTAAAAACAGTGCCTTTAGAAGGGAAACATTCTTCTGTCTGGCTAATCAGAGCATCTGAGTTCCTTGAGCATCTCACAGAGTTTTCTGTGCTGTGCCCAGCTCTGGTCATCTGTGGGGAGCATCTGAGTACTGTGCTCAGCACAGGAGTGCTGCTCTGTTCTTTCTTCCACTGCATTGGAACTGTGATGTAAACCCCTGGATACAGGCTGGAGTCATTTGGGAAGATTTGAAATATAATGATATTGGATTCCTACATAGACCAATCAATTCCACACATCTGGAGGTGGGGCCTGGACGTTGGTAGTTTGGGGTTTGGGAGTATTTTAAATGTATTTTCATTATTGTATGTATATGTGTGAGGACCCAAGTGTATATATGTGCACCATGTGCATGCAGATACCCACAGAGGCCAGAAGAGGGCATCAAATCCTCTGCAACTGGAGTTACAATCAGCTATAAGCTACCACATGGATGCTGGGAACTGATCCTGGGTCCTAGAAGAGCAGCAAATGTTCTGAACCACTGAACCATCTCTCCAGCCCCCACTGGTAGTTTTTGTAAAGGCTTCCAAGGAGACGTATATGCAGTGAAACTCCTCACTCACTCACTTAGAGCCATTTTCCAAATTGTCTGAGGATAAGAGTCTCACGGGGAGGATGAAGAGGTGGCTCAGTAGCTAAAGCACTTGCATTTCAAGCTCGAGAAATAAAGTTCAAATCCCTGGCACTCAAGAAAATGCCACATGGCTGTAGTGGACCTCTTGTAATTCAACCTTGAAAGGCTGAGACAGGCTCCCTGGTGCTAGCTGGCTAGCTGCATCTGCAAGCTCTAGGTTTGATTAGGAAACCCTACCTCAGGAGTAAGGTATGGAAGAGCAATAGAGGATTATTCCCAACATCAACCTTGGTCCCCCCCCCATATGCATGCATATACATATGCACCCCATGTGTTCACATGTACATTATCTCACACATATACATACATACATACACACACACACACACACACACACACACACACACACCAGAAGAAGGAAAAAAAATCCCTTGATGTACTGGTAAAAATTATAGATGGTTGGATCAGAACAAAATCTACCAAATATGAGCTTTCACAAGGAGAGACTTGTGTCATTTAAAGGTGGACCATATTCTGAGAGGCATCTCTTTATTTGATTTTTGGCATTGTGAAAATCTAGTAGGTAGTAGGGGACATTGCCTCTTGATGAAGCCAAGAAGTCAGCTGATACAAATGCTGAGGCTGCCCCCAGCATAATACAGCTAGAAGTACACTTTAATAATTAAGTAAATAAATACATGCTCATGTTCATTTATTATCACATATCTCCATAATTGTACATGCTGTGCCTTTATGTGACTCAGGTAGTAGGCAGGCTGACACCAGGAAAACACAAGTAATGGGTTACATCATAGTGTTGCCATAGCTATAATATCATTAGGTTGTAGGGTTTCCTACTCTATTATAATCTTCAGAACCATGTCATGTATGTAGTCTGTCATTGACTGAAACATGGTTTGCAGTGGGGCATGACTGTTTAACATACCTGTGTGGTGATTCACTATCCGAGAAATACGGGAACTGCCAAAGCTGTGGTTCTTGGAAGCACCGGGGGATCCTACAGGTGTTCTGTTGCCTGGACACCCTCAAGGTCCCCGATTCTAGCACATCTAAGATACTCCTGGTTACTAGGATTTTAAAATCTCCTAGCTTCAAATGTACAGTCCCCAGCAAAGTAAGTTCCCAAGACTTACAAGATCATTACCCTGTGGAAATGTAACCCATGTATACTATGGTACCCTATCCAGTTGCACTGAGCTTGACTGGGAATGGGATCCTGGGACCTGGCCGTGTGCCTTATAGGTCTCCCTCAGTGGTTCTCACATGTGCTATAGTGGTGTGCTTCAAAGAGCAGACTCCCTCACACTGCGCAGTTGGTCTGGGCCACACTTGCCTGTGCTGCAGGTGGCCCAGAACTGCTCAGGGGGAGCACTTTCCCTCCGGGGTGCTCCCTTAATCCAAGTGTTTTGAAGTTGTGAGGTTTGTGTCCTCTCTAGTACAGCCAGCATTCCGGGTGTTCCTGTGAATAGCTTGCTGCTGCCACTTGGCCCTTGGTGACAACACACAGGCTATCTTCCAACCATGACTGGTGGGACTTGGTTTCTTTATAGTTGGCAAAGTCCTGTGACTGGGGACTGTCTTAGTCACTGTTCTATTGCTGTGAGGAGACACCATGACTCTTAAGAAAGAAAGCATTTAATTGGAGACTTGCTTACAGTTTCAGAGGTTTAGTCCATTATCATTATGTCAAGGGAGCATGGCGGCAAACTGGCACTGGAGCAGTAACTGAAAGCTACATCCTGATCCATAGGCAGAGAGAGATTCTGAGCTAGTCATGGGCCTCAAAACCTCAAAGCCAACCCCCAGTGACACACTTCCCTGACAAGGCTTTCAATTATTTCACATAGTCCCACTACCTGGTGACTAAACATTCAATTATATGAACTCATGGTGGTCTTTCTTATTCAAATTATCAAAGGGACCAGTTTCTCAAAGGTGGTAACCCAAGTCTGACCTTGAGCATCCATCATGGACGCCGACAAGGGTATGTTTAGTCTCCTGCAACATCTGTCTCTCTATTTTGCAGGTTAGCATGGTCCTCTCAGCCCCACCCTGGTAGAGACCACACGTACAGGAGCAGAGGAAGGCAGGAGAGCAGTGGCTTGCTGGGGCCCAGGGACCGGGAAGAAGTGGAGATCAGAGGAATGGCTCAGGCCCACAGTCTGCCCATCCATGTGAGAGAGAGTCCATGGGAAGTCGCAGGAAGGACAGAGCATGTGATAAAGAAAGCTGTTTGGGAAGAAGAGCTGAGGATGCCAGCCGCTGTTAAGTTGCAGAATGTGAACCTGGAAAGCTGGAAGCAGCCAAGGAAGTTAGGGAGGCAAGTGTCTGATGGTGATAGAGAGAAAATGTTCCGGGATCTGTACCAGTTCGTTCAAGGAGAGCACATGCTGACGTCTCAGAACAAAAAGAAATCCCAGTCATTGCCTCGGGTTCTTTCTCCCAAGAGCCTGAGTTTCACAGAAATTTCTGTTCCGCTACACGATGGGCACTTAACAGATATTCCCAAAGTGCCACCATACCCTCCCAGCTGCCCACCACCTTTGGAACCCACGAGGAACCTTGAGAAAGCAAGTTCCTCGGGCCCTTTTCCCCGGCCTAAGTTTGGGAAACCCCTTAAAACTCCATGTTACAGCTCTCACCCACAGCCCAGGAGAGAAGATGGATTTCAGGACCACCAACACAGGGATCCACATGGCTCCTACCCAATAAGAAGTAAGGATTCCAGGCATGAGCTAGGTGTGCTGGACACTGGCTTGGAGCCTCCAGTGTATGTGCCTCCACCATCATACAGGTCACCCCCACAGCATATTCCGAACCCCTACCTTGAAGATCCTGTGCCCAGGCATATGAGCAGCAGCCAGAGTCAACAGCAGCAACTCCCTGAGAAAGCTGAGGCCGGCTCTGCAGTTCCTTCTGGCTCCCTTGCAGCTAGGAACCTCTATGATACAATGCCTAGCTGTCCTCCTCCAGGTCCTCCCCCACACCCCTATCCTGTTGCCACCCACGGGGCTTCTATTCAGTACATTCCATTTGATGATCCACGGATTCGACATATCAAACTAGCTCATCCCCCAGAGTTCTATGAGAAGACAAAGCTTGATGACAGAGCCTATAACGCTGGTATCACTACCCAGGAACCAGCTCTTGAGAAAAGACACTACGATGGTGCCCTTTTATCACCACAGGGCCCAGCACTCCCATCAGGCAATGAACAGGGCTCAGCCTTTGCCCATTCCAGTCCCCGGTGGCTGCGGCGTCATATTCCCATGGACGTTGAGCATGAAGGCTTCTCCAGCCAGATAGAACAGCGTGTTATGAGAGGACTAGGGACTGATGTGAGAGACAGCCAGGCAGAAAGCCTTGCCTCCTCCCCACAGCCACAGAGTGAGGGTACCTGTAAAACCTACACTAAGCTCAAAAAGTTTGAAACTGGGATTCAGACCAAGAAAAGTTCAAAGAAGAAAACCAACGCCACCATATTTTGTTTGGTTTCTGTCCCGGTTAAATCTGAGTCACTTCTGTCAGATACGGATACGAACAACAATGACTTGAATCTGGAAGCTGATAAGACACATGGACTGTGTCAGGGTACAGCCCTGGAAGAGCAAAGTCTGTTAAGTATGTCTTCCACCGACTTGGAGCTGCAGGCCCTCATGGGAAGCATGGCTTGGAGAAGAACACCCCCAAGGCAAGGTCTGGAGGAGCCAGAAGATGGCCAAACTGGTGACCTCAGAATCCTCCATCTCACCAAACCCAGGGAGCTCCAGCTTTCTGGCTCATGGCCAGGCCACCAGTACAGAGATCAGCAGACCCAAACCAGTTTCCCTGAAGACTCCAAAAGCTCAAATCTCCCCCTTGCCACACAGCCAGAAGAGTCCAGCAACACAGCACTGACCCCAACATGCCCAGAGCCCACTGCCTCAGAGGCACACCTGCATGCAGCCTTAGCATCCAGTGACCAAAATCAGAAGCCCAGTGGACCTCACCTCAGAGGGCAAATGTCCCTCAGCCCATCTCGAAACAGTGCTTTCTCAAGGACTTCCCCAGCCATAGACCAGGCATCTATGCCAAAAGGGGCCCCTGGTCAGCCCCCTAGGGCCAGCCCTGTATCCAAGCCAGAGGTGGTGAAGGGGGAATCTATAGCAGGCCAGTGCAACAGCACACAACTCTTTGGTCAGTTTCTCTTGAAACCAGTTAGCCGCCGGCCCTGGGATCTGATAAGTCAGTTAGAAAGTTTTAACAAGGAGCTGCAGGAAGACGAAGAAAGTCTTGGTGCTAATGGTGGGAGCAGTAATGAGAGCAGTGAGGTAGAAGAGCCACAGAACTGTGCTGATTCCAGAGCCAAGGGCAGGGGCCACCATGAAAGCGGCCAGAAACGGAGAGCAGAACAGCAGCCTGCCGTGCTGGCACCAGAGGAGTCAGGGTTACATCAAGGAAGACTTAAGAATGAGTCAGGGAGTTGGAGTGAGGAACCAAAACCTGGCCACCCATGTGCCCATCCTCAGTCCCTGAGCCAGTCACAGGAGGAAGACAGCAGAGGCATTCTTGTCCCGAAGACAGATGGAAGACTGGTTGCAGAGCAGCAAAGCCAGGAGGCTCCGAATGGGGTGTTTGAGCAGGACATCAGCATAAGTCCTCGGAGCAGGATGGCTGCCAGTGACACAAAAACAGCCCCTTTTTTCTATCTGGCAGAACTGAGAGGAAGTCAAGAACTCACCAAAGTCAACCATGCTTTAGGCTCTGTGCAGCTGGGCAGAGAGAGCCCTCCAAAGGTGGATAGTGGTGATGAAAGGGACACAGAGTCCCTACTGCCTCTTGCTGAAAAATACCGAGGCCTCTCAACACCAGACTTGCAGTCCTTGGGTCTCATGCTGGGACAAGAGCAGAGTGCCTATAAATCAGAGCCCCTGGGTATAGAGAATGCAGGGGAAGTCCTCCCAAGTGAGTCTCTGCAAGAGAGGGCAGAGAGGATCCTGGGCATTGAGGTGGCTGTGGAGTCCCTCCTGCCTGGTGCCAAGAAAGGAGGACAGAGCCAGCTCCCTGAGCCTGATGCAAGTGCCTGCAGCCCAGAGTCATCCAGAAAGGACTCATGGCCCAGCTTAGCACCATCAGGGGGCCCCACAGTGACCACTGATGCCTTCTATGGCAGGAGAAAGTGCGGCTGGACTGCGAGTCCTCTCTTTGTAGGGGAAAGGGCTCCCCAGGCTTCTGTATGCTCAGATGTGGATGGGTTCCCTGCAAGCCAGGCCACCAGTCCTGAGCCTGGCACAAAGGATGAGGAGGCAAAACCACCCTTCAAATCCACTCTATTCCACTTCATGGAAAAGACTACAGGCACGATGGGCTCTGAAAAGAGGCTCAGAAGCCCTTCCAAAGTGATCGAGAGTTTACAAGAAAAACTGGTATCACCCCCAAGGAGGATGGACTCAGATCGCCTGGTAAGAATGAGGGAGATCAACTCCTTGTCTCGGATGAGGTGTCTGAGCTCCAAGAGTGCAGACTCCATGGAGGAGCCCGACCATCTAAAGGCCACCAAGAATCAGGCCTGGCAAGCAGGACATCTCTCTTCTGTCTCTCAGGATGCCATCCCTCGAGAAGAAAATGGGCATCCGGAAGTGCCAAGGAGGAAGATGTCTGATCAGGACTTGTGGTGTGCAGGTGAGGAGTTGGGCTGGAGGGCGGGTGTATGGTATTCGTTTGGAGCCATGTGACCATCAGAAGCATGACTAGTTGCCAAGTATCCCAAGCTCAATGCTGGCAATGGTTCCATAGAAAGATCCTTTGTGCAGGTGTGCTGGCACACACTTGCAGTCCCAGCACTTAGGAGGCTGATGTGGGAAGAACTTGATGGCCAGCCAGGTGGTGGTGGCACATGCCTTTAATCCCAGCACAGCAGAGGCAGAGGCAGAGGCAGAGGCAGAGGCAGAGGAAGAGAGGGGCAGAGGGGCAGAGAGGGGCAGAGGGGCAGAGGGGAGAGAGGCAGAGAGAGAGGCAGAGAGAGGCAGAGAGAGGCAGAGGCAGGTGGATCTCTGTGATTTAGAGACTACCCTGGTCTACAAAGTGAATTCCAGGACAGGCTCCAAAGCCACACAGACACCCTCCCTGTCTTGAAAAAAGAGAGGAAGGGAGGGAGGGAGGGAGGGAGGGAGAGAGAGAGAGAGAGAAGGAAAGGGAGAGAGAAGGAAAGAGAAAGGAAAGAAAGAAAAGAAAGAAAAGAAAGAAAGGAGGGAAGGAAGGAAAGAAAGAAAGAAAGAAAGAAAGAAAGAAAGAAAGAGATTCCTAATGACATTCTGCTATATGTATAGAGCAGTTCCTCAGGGGGGCAAGGTAGCCAGCAGGACAGGACACTTGCCGTGTTGCTGTACAAGCTTGGTGACTGAGTTCCATCTGAGACCCTGGTAAAATGCATAGGAGAGAACCCGGTTCAGAGTCATGGACCTCCATACGTGTGCAAGAATAATAAATACATTTAAAAAAATAAACAAACTCATTTTAAAAAATTACCTAGAAGCTTTCTCAATTAAGATTGAAGATCTTGTCCTGTATTTTGAATAATTATATTATTGTTTTAGTTGTCTAAGAAAATAGCCACATAAAATTATCCTTGTAAACAACTCTGAATGTGCTGCCAAAGTAGGATATTCACAGCACTCCAGCCTGGCTATGGCAACTCAGGGGCGCATGCTGCCAAATTAATAGGTATGCACCCAAATGATCCTGTTGGTTGCTCTTTGTCAACGGGATATTTTCACTTTTTGTTTTGTTTTGAGATGAGGTCTGTCTTTGTAGACACACACACCCAGCTTTTAAAATCTCAATACAGAAGAACATGAAATATCTTATTAATTTGACATTGAAATGTTACATGTTGAATGATAATGTTCTGGAATGATTAACAGAATATATTTTGGACATATTTGGTGAAATAAAGTACATTATTAAAGCTAATTTCACCTGTTTCTTTTTATTTGTTTTAATGTAGTTATCAGACATTTTAAAATGCCATTACATGGCTCACATTGTTTTTGTTGGGCCTAGACTGTCTATGAGCTAAAGAACTTATTATTCTAGAGAATCCTCTCCATGGCTCCCTGTATTTGAGTCCTTAGTATCAACTTTGGGTCTTGAGATGCAGGTACATTGTGTGGTGTTATCTTCAGTGTGCCAGAAACTGAATTCAGTACCCAGCAATTCAGTACCCAGCACCTGTGTGATTTGAGGTGTGGCCACTCCAAGGCCTCTCCCCCATTAGGGATGTGGCACTTTACCTCCTCCTCTATTAGTAGCCCCCACTATGTTCTCAGCACATGAGAAAACATCTTTGCTCACAGTAGCTCTCAGAATCAGCACTGAACGCCTTCTGTCTTCTTGTGTGGTTACATAGTGTTGGTATGGGCAGTGTCAAGAAGTGTTAAGTCATGGGAACTCTACTTCCTTTAGCCAGGTGGCCCTGGGGCAGTCCATCATGTGAGCAGGCTCAGGTGGCTCCCCTGAATGCCAGCCCTGTAACTCTAGTCTGTAGCCCCTGCAGAGTATTCCCAGCACAGTCTTGGTTTTTGCCATCACAGTGCCTAGCATGCAAGCATGTGCCAGTCACGGGAAAGTACACTGTCGCTTTAGGCTACAGGCATCTTTAGGCTATAAGGCATCTTTTCCCAGGTGTGTTTCAGAATATTGTTTTCTAATTATTTTTCTATAAATTTGTACCACCCTGCAGGTTTTTATGAAATCATCTTCTAGGCTGTGGTAAGCCTTGCTGTTACTTTGTCTCTATCCTCGTTGAAGTATAGACATTAAGTGTGTGCATCTTTAAAATGCACATTATGTATGAGTGACCATACATTGTGTGCTGAGTTAGACAATCAAGATAATTAACATACCCATCATCTAACAGTCTTTTGATGGAGTTCAAGAACACATGCACTTTGTTAACTGCATCCACCCTGATGTGCTAACCTCATGGCACTCATTCATCTTACAGCTGCAGTTTTATACTTTCCCAATATCTCCTTTCTTACCCAACCCCCAGCTCCTAGAAGCCACCACCCTATTCCCTGTTAATACAGGCATCACTTAAAAAGAAATTCTACATGTAAGTGACATCATGCAGTGTTGTGCTTTCTCAGCCTAGCACAATGTCCCCAAGGTTTATCATGTGTCATTTTAAGTGACAGGATGCCCCCCCTTTGAGGCTGAACAATATTCCACTGTGTGTGTATTTACGTATAGACATTTTCTTATTCATCTGTTGGCAGACACATGGATTGTTTCCCCGTCTTGGCATAAACAGTTCCATATAAACAGTACAGTGAGCATGGATGTACAGCCATATTGATTTCCTTTCCAGTAGTGAGATTGCTGGGTTATATAGTAGTTCTATTTTTGTTTATATTGTTTGAGGAATCTCTATGTTTTAATGGCTATCATGTACTCTTACAGTTTTATTGACCATTTTCTCATAAAAATTTAGGAATTTTAAGGCAGGGAGCTCTGACCACAGGAGGCACACACACGAGCCTCCAGGGTGTGCTAGGCTTCCAGAGCTTGGAGGTTGAGAGCCTCCTCTCAGCAACATGCATTTCCCATTCTGGTGGCAGTTGGGTTGCTGTCCCCTCAGTATTGTGCTCTATTTGGGAAATCCAGGTCATCAGGGCTCAGCATGAGATTTTCCAGCTCAGACTGTAGAAGGTCATTATGGTGTGAGAAGGTACTAGAAGGTGTACTGACAGGCAAGCCACCATCCTGGTTCTGCCTGCTGGCTGGTAGCAGCTGGAGACTGGAAACCTCTTCTTTCTGGTCATGCATTTGACATTTCGGGTTCCCCCAAGCCTTGAAGATAAGAATTAATTTATAAAGATGCTTTCAAATCTTCTCAAGGAGGGATAGGAACTCAAGGTTCTGAGTTCAAATCTCTGCAACACAAATTGCCAATTGTAGCAGCATACCTGTGATCTCAATGCTGAGATAGCCAAGACAGGATTTCTTGGAGATCATTGGACAGCTAGATCAGCCAAATCAGTGAGCTCCAGGTTTAGCAAAAGACTTTACCTCAAGAAATAAGGTGGTTATGCAGGGAAAGAAAAAAATCAAGAACAAAGTGAAAAGCAATTGAAGAAGGCAGTGAATATCAACCTCTGTCCTCTGTACACACTTGTGTACACACACAGGAGCACACACACAGGAGCACACACACACACACACACACACACACACACACACACACACACACAACAACAAAAAGAATCAGCATTAGGCCAGGGTGTTGCTGCTGGATAAGGTTAATGTGTTTGTTATTTATGTTGTACTCTGAGCACCAGGAAGAACCATCAGTATACTGGATCAGCTTTGCTCATCTGCATTTATTTGCTAACAATCATGTACATTCCTTGAAAACAACATTTCAGTCATAGTTTCTTACCCCCTGGTGAAATAAGTCTGCTGAAGTGTCTAAAAATCAATTCTCCATGCATGCAAGTTTTGTTCTCTAATTTATTTGCATTGTCTGAGGATTAAACATAAAACATGGCAGGTGAATGTCCCACTGATCCTCCTTCCTTCTTGTTCGCAGAGTCATATGATCCCAGCCGAGTGGAGAGGGTGTGACGGATGCTGGTGAAGCCCCACCACCTTGGTTAATGGGGGTGTCTCTGGTGAACTCATCTGCTCTGTCCAGGCTGAAGCTGGAAATGGCTGGATTTTCAGTGTCCCGACTCTTCCTTTGCCTGTACATGGGAAATCGGCCATCCCTACAGAATTGTTGTGGCCCTAAAGCAGTGGTGTGCTGACAACATCTGTCTTTAGAGCATGGATATATAATTCCATATTTAGAAAAGAATTTTCACATCAGTTCCCTTTCCTGGTAGATTAGGCCGAGCTGGTAAATAGCTTGGTGTCAATCTGGTTTTATGTGAAAAATCAAATATGGAATATGCAATGGGTGATTTCGGTTGGACCATAATATCATCCATTCCCTGACGTATCTCCCCAGCTCATGCTTAGGAGTGTGGCCAGGCCTCCGCTTTGTATTTACAGTTATGGGGAATATGAGTGAGGATGTGTGACCCATTTTTATTACTCGACCTTTGGCAGTGTGGGGTGACTTTAAGTAACTGCTACCAGACTTACAGCAGCTTCTTTGTGTTCCTGAAGGGTCACCCTCACACTGTAACTTACCCAAGAAGTAAACATGCTGCCCTCTGCTTTGCACTCAGTCTTCCTTAGGTTTTACTTTCTGTGTTAATGTTTAGATATTCTTTATATGAGAAATAATTGCTGGTTTAAAATATACCATGGTAACAAAGTAACTATATTTCTTTTTATAAAATTGCTATTTTTCTATGATGTGTAAACAGTTCTTTGGTGGCAGATTTTTAAGGAAGTGCTATTTTATTTAAGAGTTTATCCCTGTGTGTGTGAGGGACCCAAGAGGCCCCACCTTGGCTCTAAAGCCGTTACCCCTGCTCCAACTTCAGCTCTGCTCCTTTTAACTCTGTGTCACAGAGTGCCAGCGAAGACAAATTACAAGTTCATTAACTCTTACAAAGATGTTTTTCCACAGATGGAGCTCTGAGGTTACATTTCAAGTCACCCCTCTCAAAATTGGCCAACAATTTCATGGTCATTTTGCAGCCATGTCAACTAGAATTGCCAAAACCCCATAGTTTCATCTTGTATTTCTGTGGGGAATCTGCCCCAAGAGGAAACTTTTCTATTGCCCACCCTGTTGCTCCTTTAAAGAAAGATATATTTTTGTCTAGAATGATCCTGATGATTAATCTTACGTATTCTAAGCAGTGCTTGGGAACAGTACACAGGTGGCATTGAGTGTGTGTGTGTGTGCCGCAATGGAAGTCTCCAGAGGCTTATGGTGCTTAGTCCTGCATTTGCCTGTATAGTTTATGCATTTCTGGAATTTCACCCTTCTGTCTGAGTAAGGTATCCTTGCTACCTAACATTTTCCAAAATGTTTGTCCCCCCCCTTTCCCCTCCTATATCCCTTCCTCTCCTTTCTTTTTTTTTCCCGCTCCTTCTCATTTTGAGACATTTAGTTAATCTATTTTCAGACCTGTCAAATTCCTTCAGTTGTAAGTCCGTGGCTGGTCTGTTCTCTGGCCCTAAGACAGACTTTTATGGCCTCTTATCTACACATCTTCACAATCTTATTTTATTTCCCAAGAACCTCACATGTTCTGACTGGACACACAGAACAGAATCCAAGCACACACCTTCCCAGATGTCCATGCCTGCAGTCTTGGTTTGTACCTGTTGCTCATGCTCATCTTCGTCCAGAGTTTGGCTCTCATGGAGAGCGGTGTGGGATGGAGATCTTCCTGGGGCAGTAGGCAAGCAGGTTGGTGATCTGCAGTGGTGGCTGAATCATTTGCTAGGGCCAAGTGAAGGTTGAGCCACTTGCTGGGCTCCATGGGGCCACACGTCCAGCCCTGTGCATGTGTTCATAGGTGCAGACCCAGTGCATGTCTGTGTGCACTCTGGTGCTGTACTGACTTCCCATTACATGACCTGACACCATCCAAAGACTGTTTAAGAGAAAGAGAAGGATCCTGAAGGAAAGCTGTTGTGCCTTATGTATCTCAGTCTGGAATGGGATGCTCTTCCATTTTGTCTTGTTTGAAATCATATCATGCTTCCCTGCAGCCATTCAGCCAAAATAGCAAATATTTCTACCTTAACCTGAATTTTTCCAGATTCAAGCTCATATGCAAATCTTTTGGAAGGAAGTGGTAACATTGAATTTAGTAACTTGAAAATTTGACCCTTAACTTTTCATACCCAACGTAATGTATATCTGACCAAAAATTGTCTTGCTGGGGTCTTGAGTTCAGTACTAACCATCATTCCCTATGTAAATTTTACACGTTCCCATGACTGTTGTTGGAAAAAGTTTTTCATATTCTGTGTTTGTCAATTGTTTTTCTCATTATACATGTTGGTATTCAATAATTTGGAGCTTGTAAAATTAAAAGTTATAATTTTGACCATTTGAACTAAAAATTATAGGAGAAATTGTGCCTGTGTTGTTTCTGAAATTGCAGAAGGAAGGGGGAAATGGTGGTTTGGGGCCTCTTTAGGGAAATTTTTCTGAAGGATTGAAGATGAGGTATCTTTTACCATATTCAGTTGTGTTTCTGTAAGCCCTGGAAACCTCCTAAAGATGCAACTGGCCCCTGGAAGAGACTATCACAATTATTTCCATAATTATAAACATTTATTTCCTTTATTAATAAAGACCCTGAATCATCTTTGGTATTGTGGCTCCCTTCCTGGTACAGTAGATGTGGGTTCTGATTGAGTTGAAAGCTACAGGGCGATTGCTGGCAGTAAAGGCATATGTCATCCTGTGGTACCCAGTTTGACTTTTATTGCTTGTTTGAAATGCTTAGATAATAAATACACCATTGTCGGCCCAACACCTCCTCCATAGTGACCAGGGCAGTCGAAGTCTTGTGAACAGTTGTTGGTGTTGGGGAGTACCATCTGCGGTGGGATTGGCTGTGCTCGGGCAGCTGAAGGTGGGGTGAGGTGGGAGTAATGCTTAAGCTGTTGCAGCCAGGGGTTTGTTTCCTTTCTGCTTTGTTTTCGACTGCACATTTTGTACATCTGTGAGTGGGAGGAGAATTGCCACTCAGGACAGGATCTAAGAGACACATTCTAAATGGCCTTTGAAGAGCCTGAATGGTGGGAGGTCCTTGTCCCAGAACGTGGGTTGGTTCACTCTGTGACCCTCAATTGGAAGAAGGGGGAAATGATTAAATACCACCATAGAAAGACTGGTCCCCAGCCTGTATGTTTTGTTATAAAGAAGAATAGTGAGGTCAAGTCTATAAATTCAGACCACAGCCCCTTGAAAAGGTCCCTGTGGTCTGACTGCCTGCTCAGCAGAACAGTCCAGGCTTCAGCAGCATTGTGGGAGGCAGCCTAGACTCCTGCCTGTTGGTGGCCTTGACTTTGAGAGCCTCTGTCTTAACTGGAATTATTAATGTAACAGAGGCCAGGGAGGGGCTTGGGAGGCTGCAGACAGCTCAGTCTACAGTATGTCTGCAAGCCTTCTCACAGGACAGTCTTCCTGCTGCTGCTGCAGTGTCTCCCACGTCTGCCTCCCTGAGGCCACACCTCACAGCAGAGGTCAGGTGTGTGACACTGAGCAAGAGGGAGACCCAGGCAAGTTCAGGGTGACAAGCAGAACTCAGCAATGAAAACCACATGTCGGAGTCAGGGAAAACTGTGGCCCACCCCCATCCAGCCGGTAAAAATCAGCTCATCCTTATCCCTGGATCAGCTGCCACTCCAGCCCTCACTGAGGCCTGTCAGGCAAGGTGAGCATGCCCCAAACCATAAAATATAGTAAGGATAAGGCTCTGGGACCCAGAGGAACATATGTCTGCTCATTCTTTTGCCCAGCTTCCTTAGCATCTAGGGGAAGTGGATAGGTTTCTGGAGAATAGCCCTGTAGTCACCTCCAGTGGGGCAGTCCAGGAGAATCTTGGGTAATGGGAAGTAAAAGCAGGCAGGGAATAACCACATGGAGCAAGGCAAAGCACAGCACAGCAGCAGGTGGATTGGCAGGATGGAGGCCTCCATGGAGTGTGCTTCTCTAGACAGTATAGAGATAGATGCCTTTACTGTCTTAGGGTGGCTAAGCAGCTCTGAACCTGTGCTCCAGATAACTGTTTCACAAAACTATCTGTGTTTACCATCTGACTGTGACACAGAAGCTGCCTAGATGCCAAGTGCAATGGCTCAGGGCATGGGTACTGCAGGGACAGATGGCATAGCACCCTCACTCTCCACCAGAACTCACTGAGGTTGAAGTTCCTTAGTGTGGCTTCCCCCACAGAGACTCACCGATGCAGTGACCTATGGTACATTCCAAGGGCTGGGTACCAATTTCTAGTCACTCATGAACCACTCATCAGTTCCTGGCTTTCTTATCCACCTCTCTTGCTAGGAAAGATGCCTCTGACATGTAGAAATGCCTCTGGCATGAAGGGTAGCCAAAGCATGGAGAATGTAGCCAAGCTTGATGCTATGAAGGAAGTTCTGTTAGGACACTTTTCAGGCTTTAATTGGGGCCCTTGTGTTTCAGGGATTCTGCCTGTCTAGCATGACTGTTCTGTAAGCAGACAGAGACTCCATGTCCCATCATGCTCTTGTCTTGCTGTTGCTGCAAGTTAGATTAATAAACCAAGCTGCTCTTCCTGAGTTTTAAAAAAATGGGGACCAGAAAGATGACTCTGTGGGTAAAGGTGATTGGCAATAAGCCTGTGACCAACATGGTGGAAGAAGAGAACTGACTCATGCGAGTTGTCCTCCGACTTGCACATGAGTGCTATGGGACACACGAACACAACACAGAAATCAATATAATGACCCAGGGAGATGAGTCCACATAAAGGGTCTTGCCTCCAAGCTTGGTGACTTGAGCTCAGTTCCTGGGACCTTTGTAGTGTGCCTAAACACACACACACACACACACACACACACACACACACACACGTAATAACAATTCTAAAAGGAAATGCATCCTTCCTTCCAGCTGGAACTTGTGTCTTTCCTATTGGCCTTTTCAGGCCAGTTTCCTCTCT